AGAAGCCGTGCGGCGAAACACATACACAAAATCAGCTGAGCTAGTAACACCACCAAGGCGTATTTAACAAGGTGGTGTTGGCCGTATATAAGTAAAAAATTACACTAACAAATTATACGCTGATGGCCATACTGTCATTGGTATGAGTTACAACAAACACATCATTTTGACGTAATGGCCTCCACGGCGAAAAAAACTCAGCTGTCGCCCCAACACCACCTTGTTTAATACACCTTGAACACCACCTTATATAAATTCGCCTTGGTGTTGCCCGAGCACGAGCAACTCGGTGCCCCTCTCCTTTCCTCGTCACGCTCTCTCCTACAAACGTCGAGTTGCGGCAACAAAAATCGCCGTGTGTAAATGAGCACTAACAAGTGCAATTGCTGCTTTTGTACGTTTTTGTCAATGTATTCATCTTTGAAGTAAATTCACTAGCAAGAAAACTGCGGTTTGTTGCATTGAAAGCAGCATAGCAATCGTTAAAAAATAAAAACAGATTTTTTCTTCGCTTTTAAATGCCGACAACAAATTACCAAAGAGTACGCATTTGTAGGCTTTTTTTTTTGTCAATGTGACCATCTTTAAAGTGAATTTGGGAAAAAACCAAGGCACCTAGAAAACTGCGGTTTGTTGTATTGTACAATACAATGTAAAGCATTCCCTGGCATATATCTTCGAAAATTAATGTTCATTAATTTAACCAAGAATTTTCATTTTTTTTTTTGTTAAGTCAATGCCGTAAAAAAGAAAATCCAAACCAAAGTACTTAACTTTGATACAAATACTTTTAATTAAAAAAAATCAACACAGACACTAATAGCGAACGAAAATTAACAAAGCATTTTTCAATTGCTCAAAAAAAATCGGCTGTTTTTTCTTGTGAGGGTGTCATTCGTACATCATAAATTTTCTGACTATTGTGAGCTTTTGAGCTTTTGAATTTACGCTAGCATAGGGATAACCTCACAATAGTCAGAAACCTCACAATAGTGAGTGTGGTGGTTTTTGTGAGGGCAACAGAATAGGGCTGAAAGTGTGATTGATTTTGACATTGCTCTCATAAGAAACAGGCTATAATGTCAAATTAAAATGAATTGTTAACCCATTTGAAAATATTTTTTTTTTTCAAATTTGAATTTGTTTAAAAAAAATTTACACAAATATTTTTCAAGCAACAAATTTTCTTAATAAACGTGAAATTGTTAAGAGATAAACCGCCGAGGAGAGCAAGTAAGCACATTTGGTAATAAGTAAATATGTACGTTCGAATTTTCTTAAATATTTAATGTAAGGAAACCAAGATGAAACGGAGTAAAACTTTTGAACGGTACGCTGTATGCAATAGAAGTCAGGACACGAAAATAGAGCGATGTTTTAAACCACCTAGTTGCGAGTTAAGACGGCAGCGATGTAGTGTTGTACTACGTGATTCATCTCGCGTTTATGAAAACCACTTCAAGGAAAGTGATTTCATTCGTTGTCCGTCCGAGTCAAGCACTTTCAAACGAGCTCGTTTATACCCAACATATTTCGCATACAAAAAATTTAATTTAAAATTTGATAGAGTTAAGCTCTCATATAAAATTGGAAACAAATGTAAAATCATACTTCTATAAGTGTCGAATAATGTTTAGGATAAAAAATTTAAATATAAAAATAAACGCACAAAAGCATAAAACTTGGGCAATTAAAAACAAGAAAATTGCTAAAACGATTTTATAAACAATTTGTTTTATTTTATTGACAAAATATATATATTCCAGATAATGTAAGTAAAACAAAACTATAATCAAAATAAAAGCCTTGGTATCAGTGCTGACAAGATACATGCATCACTAAGGGTTAATTCGTTTGTTTATACTTTTTGACATTACAGTACCTTAAAAGAGAGCCGCACTGAGTTGTCAATCACACCTTGTTTAATACACCTTGGTAGTGTTTGACAATTCACACGGCTATTCGTAATTGCTGCTTCTCTGTATTAAACGTTCTCTGTAAAAAATTTGCACGCAAATGCAACAATTTACAATTAAGGCGAATTTAAACAAAATGGTGTTTGATCAGCTGATTTCTTCGCCCTCCTTTATTTTGTTTTTCCCAAGGCGAATTAATATAAGGTGATAGCAGGAATACAAAAACGAAAATTTACATGAATTTTGTTTTTGCTTTGGCGGCATAAACTGTCAAAATCTGCAAGAGCGTGTGTAGAAATTCAAACAAAATTTTTCAATTTGATATCAGAAGCCGTGCGGCGAAACACATACACAAAATCAGCTGAGCTAGTAACACCACCTTATATAAATTCGCCTTGGTTTTTCCCATCATAAGCAACAACAAGGTACATGTAAACTTAGGGCGAATTGAGTTTTGACCTGACACGCGCAATACGAAACACATGTGGTTGTTGTTGTTGTATTCATGCTTCCACCTTGTATAAATTCGCCTTGGATTCAATACTTGACCTCTGTACACCCCATCTAATGATGTAGGGTAAAATTCCGAGAAAGGGGCAAAAATATGATTGATAAATCTAGCCAGAAAAATGGGACCTGGGCACACTGTCCGAAAAAAGCAACAAATAAATTAGCAAATAAGAAAAATTAATTCCGTTAATTTTGGCACAAATAAATTAGGAAATAAGAAAAAATACATAGTAAAATAAAAAAATTTGCAGTGAAAAACGGTAAACACATAATTGAGGAGGGCTCATGTGCTTCTACATAAAAATAAGTTACGAAAACAAGAGTGTAGTGGGTGTAGAAGTGCATTGTAGTTAAGAATTGAAGCTCGAGATAAGACAAGTATCCCATAATGGCAAGGAATGCAGACGGAGCGGACATTGATCAGCAATTGGAAAACGACCAAAAGCAACAACAATCAGGCAGGAAGACTAGAGATCCGGATGATACAGCGGCCAATTCCAAGTCAATAAATGGAAACCAAAGTGGATGTGATGTAAAATCATTTGGAAGCTCAGTTAAAGAAAGTAGCAAGTCAATAGATTCGCAGTGTTTAGCTGTAAACTCCTCAACTCCCTTGACACTAGAACAAAGCGAAATAGGTAGTAACGGTGACCGTACTACAGCTGAAAGAAAAAGTCACCCGCAAGGGCGTGGTGTTAGCCACGGCTCACCTGCAGACAATCAATACTTCTTTGAAGATGAAGTATTTCGTATTGATAAAAATGGGCGCGTCAAATTCGGACTGGTTTATGAAACATCTGAGACATATTCAGGTGATGAGGACGACGATTTTAGCGATGTATTAATGAAGGGTGAAGTGCGGGTAGCATGGTACCCTGAAGGCAAAGAAGAAGTGCAGCCAGAAGCAGCGGTAAGTTGAAGTTTTACGTACAAAAGTTGCATTAACATATTTATGATTTGAATAAGAAAGACAACAGCGATACTTGTAAATAGGTAATTACTCAATGCACTGTAAGTGTTAAACATTTGCATATTTCCATAAATGCCTACCTAAATATGTATATATCAGCCAAATGCACATGCAAATAGTATGTGTATATGCATTAAATTTTTTTTTGTAATATCCTTTGACCGTTACATGACCTCTGATTGTCTTCAACTACTTTGCTTTGAAAAAAATATATATAACTACTATATTTTATATAACGAAGATTGCACTAGCTGATCGTACATTAATGCCTGGTGATGTAGTGCGCCGCTTAGTGCCAGGCAAGGATACACAACGTGGGTATTGTCGTGATATTAGTATGCACGCTGATGTGAAAGTTCTGGGTACGAAGTATGTCATAAAAAATGTCATGACCGAAAGGCTACGGCCATTAAACAATTGGCGGGATAGTGCGGTATGTCTAGATTCTTGGGTTGGAAGCACTAAAGATGTGGAGGAAAAGGCGGTGCTTAGGTTAATAACTATCCTATAATCTAAATTTGCCATGGAATAATTTTTAGATATTTTATTTATTAGATCAAACACTGGCGCACGCATTGAAATATCGTCACATGACTTTTATGGTTTTTCGGATTACAATTCGCGCAATACCCACGGGATCTATAATCCACATGTGTTCTACCCGGGCAATGCTATAGTAGGACGTTTACCATCTTTAGATAGTGTAAAATTGTTAACACCAAATATACCTATACCCAAAAACAAAAAAGGAAAACCATTAAAAGGAAGAGTTAGTATGAAATTTAAAACTTTCCGTTTTATGATTGAATAAATTTTTTATCAAATCGTATATTTGCGCAGTATACAATCGAATCTATTGAAACTGAGTCGGTATGGGTTCACTGGCAATGTAAAGCTCTCTCTGAGGAAGGCAGCATCGACACCAGCCTTCTGGAGCAACCAAATCCCTGTGTTAGCGGCGAAGACTTGAAACGTTTAAAGCGTTTAAACCTATTCGAGTCGTGTATGCTGCAGATAAGTGACCGTAACTACTTAAAATTTTCCAATCTTGATAACTATGTAAAAAAGTCACAGTGGGGAAAAGAGCAAGGTTTGTTGTGTAATTATCCGCTTATTTATTGTTTTATAATAAATTCTACACGTTTTCAGCCAGCAAATTTAAAGTAGCGCTAGCGCAAAGTCAAAAGAACGAAAATCAAGGTGCGATTGTAAATTCGGGCAGTCAAAATATTGCTAGCAATAATAGCTCACACCACAACGAGAAAACAAAAAAGAAATCTAGCTTAATTGAGGCTGATTCAAAAACGACAAAACCCAAAAAGTCTATCTTGAAAACAGAGAAGCTTAGCAACGCTAATATTAAAGACAAAGCGAGTGCACATGAAAATCCAGTTGAACACAGTGCTTCAAATATACAAATGAAAAAAACTTCAAAGTCCAGTGTGGAGCCCGAATGGGTAACAGATGACGAAGATGAGGAGGATGATGGCGACGGAGATTACTCCAACGACGATTTCTATGAGGATGGGATCAGCACTACTACCTGTTCAAGCCCTTCACCTATGCACAGTCCGAAACATAGCAAGCGCCACCTCTTAAAGAAGAAAAGTAGAACACCAGCGAAACGTTCAGTTTCTTTACTGAATCCAGAATTTCAGCCAAAGGATGGCGATGAGTTAGTTACTGAAGCACTTCTGGTTTACAGCACTGCCACTGTGGTTTGGCAAGATGGCACCGAAGAGGCTGGCGTACCATCTACTCAATTGTACCCCATACATAATTTGGATAATCATGTTTGTGAATCTTAAAATTTTTTATGCATGCACATATGTATATGTATTTTACATAATTCTATATTTAGGAGTTCTTTCCTGGTGATTTCGTTGTATCCGGGAAAGAGGATAGTGATATGACGTATCGTGATTATGGTGTTATACAAAAGGTTGATCACTTAGGTCGCACCGCGGTTGTAAAGTGGTTTACGACTTATACATCAGCCGATGAACCGAGGTTGGTGGTATTCAAAAGTTTTGTTCATAACGGGTGATTTTTTTGAGGTTAGGATTTTCATGCATTAGTATTTGACAGATCACGTGGGATTTCAGACATGGTGTCAAAGAGAAAGATGCTCAGTATGCTTTGACATTTCATCATGAATAGACTTACTAACGAGCAACGCTTGCAAATCATTGAATTTTATTACCAAAATCAGTGTTCGGTTCGAAATGTGTTGAATGTGTGAAAAGTTGGCAGAAAATCCGCTTTTTTATCGACAAATTTTGTTCAGCGATGAGGCTCATTTCTGGTTGAATGGCTTCGTAAATAAGCAAAATCATGCGATTTGACGCCTTTAGACTATTTTTTGTGGGGCTACGTCAAGTCTAAAGTCTACAGAAATAAGCCAGCAACTATTCCAGCTTTGGAAGACAACATTTCCGAAGAAATTCGGGCTATTCCGGCCGAAATGCTCGAAAAAGTTGCCCAAAATTGGACTTTCCGAATGGACCACCTAAGACGCAGCCGCGGTCAACATTTAAATGAAATTATCTTCAAAAAGTAAATGTCATGGACCAATCTAACGTTTCAAATAAAGAACCGATGAGATTTTGCAAATTTTATGCGTTTTTTTTAAAAAAAAAGGTATCAAGCTCTTAAAAAATCACCCGTTACATTAGCTAACGGTATTCATTTGAACTTTTTTTTAGACCCACTTACAATGGCGAATCCGAAGTAAGTGTTTACGATTTAAAAGATCATCCGGATTTTCAATACCGACCTGGCACTATGGTTATACGCGTCGCAAACTTTGTTGGAGAAGACACAACCTGCACCGCCGGTCAAATTATAGATAATTACATTGATGGTCGAGCAAAGGTATGGTGGGTGGATGGACACATAAGCATGTGCTGGCCACAAGATTTGTTCGAAGTTGGTCAATACAATCACGCTGACTGGGGACATGAATCTGAGGATTCGTGGGAAACCGAGTCGGAAAATAGCGAATTGGGTGGCAGTACACCCATGATGGCGCTGGAAGAATCGCACATTATAACGAACATTGAGCGCACGCGTGTTGCTATTGCGCGTTTAGAAGAAATTTTTAATATGAGTCCAAATTTACAGAATGCCGATGTAGGTATTTTTTTAGTTTTACTTTAAATAAAGTAATCATATTTTATTTTGTATATTAAGGTGATGCGTAATTTGTTGAACGTTTATAAAGGTTGTCGTTACTTAGATCGCTTATTGAGCACCAACTTTTTTCATGAAGATAACTTTATGGTAATTCATAAAGTACATCTAAAGTAAAATTATGAAAATTTGATAATATCTTTTTATCTATAAAAGGGTCTAATTGAGCGCGTTAGAAAAGGTGGAAATCAATCGTTTGCAGAACGAGCACAGGATCGAAAAAATCGACTATTTAGTTATGTGCAAGCCACCTCACCAAACGCAAAACAAACTAATACCCAACCATCGGCAAATGTTGTGCACGTTCATCAACATCAACAGTCGCATTATCAAGCAGTTGTTTCATTGGATAGTGCACAAAAGACGCTTCCAAACGAGGCATCTGCTATCATTGGCAGCACAAGCATTAGTGGCAATACCAGCGCAACGACGACCAACACATCCAAAGAATATGCACCAAAAATTCTTTTCAACATCTCGTCGACGCCTTTCAAGTCGCATTCATCAGCTGTTAATGTTCATGGGACAAGTACTGGTTCCTCAACCAATGCCAGTCACTCTATGATAATGCCTGTGCTCAGATTAAAGTCTGCTACATCGGTTGCTACTGCAACTTTAGCGGCATCCGCACACAATACTCCGGAAAAACCTGGGACTAAGCAGTTAACATCAAATGGAGCTGCAACGGTGGCTGCTCTTGGTTCCGACGAAGTGGCGGAAACTGTTAACCATAGCATAAAAGCGGCCAGTAGTACAATAGCAGCAGCGGTATTGACGCGTGGTGGCAACACATTGGCGCTACAACAAAACATTATTGCCGAGAATAATCAACTGCTAAATTCTGCAATGTTGAACATTGAAAAGGCATTTGAAAAAACTTGTCAACTTAAATCAACGAAAGGGGCCTCGCAGGTAAAAACTTGAATACTTAGCACTTAATATTTTTCATCTTATTACATCACATTATCTATTAATTTAAGGATGACTCTGGTAATTATTCCCGTAATGAGAATTGTGATGGCAGTTCAACCAGTTATGCCAGCTACTCGGATCTTACAAATGCTGACGCGAATGGGTCAATAGTGAAAGTTATTGATGATCAAAAGTCGATATCTTGTAGCAGCATCGAATTTAATGAAGATGCTGCACCTGAAATGGACTGTGTGCGCCTATGTGCGCTGCTAAAAGAACAGTTAGTTAAATGCATACAAAATATTCGCGAGAAATACTACAAAGGCGACAATCTCAATTTGAGCGAAGTTTTCACTTTCGATGGCGCAGAGGAATCGTCGCATGTAGAAGTAATGGAATTGGGCAAGGAAAAATCAACTAAGTGCATCGAAGAAGATAGTATAAATATGAGAGACGAGCAACCGCTAGACTTATCAAAATCGAATGCAACGAAGTGCAGTGAAGAAGATAGTATAAATATGAGGGAGGAGCAACCACTAGAATTGTCGAAATCGATTGCAACCATTGAAACTATAGATACTGCAATAGAATCGCACGCTTCCATCGTCAGTTCACCGGTTGAACTAAGTTTCGATATCAATGTGACATCAGAATGTTTCCAAGTTTTGCCCCAAGCACCGTCCACACATAAATTTCAATTGACAATTTTCCACCCCAATAATACTCAGCAATATTATAAAGCAGTACAACGCGAACACCGTATGTTAAAGAATTCGCTGCCCTCCGGCGTATGGGTTAAGTAAGTCGGATATTGAATTATTATTGATAGCTATCAAGATTTTAAACTTTTACGTGCACTGTTCATAGAGTTTTTGAAGATAGAATGGACCTTCTGAGCGTCATGATAGAGGGACCGGAAAATACTCCTTACGAAGATGGTTTGTTCTTCTTCGATATTCAACTTGGCCGGGAATATCCAAAACGTCCACCATTGTGCCATTACATCAGTTATTGTTCAGATCGCTTAAACCCTAATCTATACGAAGACGGAAAAGTGTGTGTATCCTTGCTGGGCACATGGCCTGGACGCGATTCAGAAGTATGGAGTCCTAATAGCACCCTACTACAAGTGATTGTGTCCATACAAGGCTTGATACTGGTACCTGAACCATATTTCAATGAGGCTGGTTATGAGAAACAAAAAGGTAGCGACAGTTTTTGATCAAAGTGTGAACAATGCATGTAAATATTCTGTCTTTCAATGTAGGCTCACAACAAGGTAGAGAAAACTCACGCATGTATAATGAAATGGTTATTATCAAAATGGTACAGTCGTCTACGAAACTTTTGCAACAGCCACCAAAACTATTTCGCCGTGAGGTCTATGAACATTGGAAACAATTTGGTTTTAAAATGTATGAGCGCATTAAAGGCTGGATGGAATTATCTAAATTAGCGGCAAATAAACAAAACGATGAGGCTACTATAAACTGTACATCTGAGAAAGAGCTGCATGAGCCTAAGCAATCGAATTTGACTACCGGTAAGCAAACGTTCGGCCTTCAATATATATTTATTACCTTATTATGTTTTTCAGAAATCTCTGAAACCATTGAAGTTGCACACGCACCTCCCGATTTTCCACTTGTACCTGCTAGCCGTGGCTTCTGTTTAACATTAGCAGGCCTCTTAGACACATTTAAATCGAAATTATTAGCATTAAATGCAGAACGTAAGATTTCAGTGGGGAAAGATGATGCGGAGCATGGAGAAGCATAGAAAAACCACACTTATGAGTGGCATGCGCTTTTTGTAAAATGGAAAATGTATCAAGTTCTTTAATTAATTATATTTTAGTAAGTTTTGCCTATTCAATGGTGCTTGCTGCTTGCTCGCAATATTCACTGTAAGGAAATGCACAGATGTGCTATTGTTACATTTTCGTTTAGGCGTTGCCACTTCATATCCGCACATATATACGAGCTCTAAATGACTAATTTATTTAATTCAGATTCTCACACACTCTTACATGTGCATGTCTATGTGAGTTTGTCTAAATTATAAGAAGTAATACTCAATCAAAAGCGAATTCGATGATATTGTTCACAAGTTTTTGAAAAATTAGAATCTCGAATAAAGCTATACTTAAACAATTATATGCATGAGTAGAAATAAAATAAAAAGAATATAAGCAATTAAAAATAAAATATATCGGCTAAGGGAATATTAAAATTTGAGCAATTAAACAGAAAAAAAATTATACTATAAAATTTAGAAAGTAATTAGTAGTCGCACTTTTAGTCGAGATGTAACTCAAAATAAAATACACAAAATGGGCTGTAATCATTAGTAGGTGATGCACTGTTTTGCGAAATTTCTAAGTAAATTATTAAACGTCGTTTCGAGTTTTAATTTTTGCTGAATCATAGGTTTAAAAATTTGGTATTCCTTGATCAGTTGTATGTGCGTCTCAATTTAGGCTTTGTTGCTTGTTGTCGTTTTAATAAATTAATTATTTAGAATATTAATATTGCACATGTATGCGTGACTGCATAGTATTATACAACATAAATATTAATGTTTTTCAAAACGCAGTTCAAGTATATAAACATTTTAAAAGTTCCAAATATTTTAAAATTAAAACATTCGGTATTTCTTATCGCTACTGCTGGAATGCCCCACGCTTCGATTTTCGGCGAAGTAAATTAAATGACTCCTCCCGTCATCTTTTATTGGATATGCTCTACCTTCAGCATTAAAAATCAGTTATAAACATAAATTCATTAAAGAAAAATATCCCTGATTTTGCCACGATCTAAGGCTAAAATTCAACAAGATTTATCGAAGGTAAATATTTTTAAGTAAGCTGAAAATCGTTTAGCAATTGAATCTATGTATAAATAAAAACATACCAAAGAAAATTGCTTTCTGCAAAACTCGTTAAAAAAAGAAATAAAAAACGTTAAACAATTCAAGTCGTTATCAATTTGATTTAACCCGAAAAACGAAAAGTATTTCGTAATTATAATGCATATTTAATATATTTATGTCATAACACTAACTAAAGAAAACTTGCTACGCTATTTGTAAAAATTATCTTAATAAGTAATTAAAAAATAATGGAAAAAACTATTTGAAATTCTCCAGCCACTTCTATTACTTTAACTTGAACAATTGTTTAATTTATAAAAAGTTGAATATATTTTCTTTAGCTATGTATAACGTGAAATAAATTCAATATTTTCGTTAAACAATAATTTAGTACTGTTTTAAACTATATAATTAATTTAAACAACTATTTACATATTTCCACTGCACACACACACACATCCACCCAGCACACTCAGGTCAGTCCTCCAAATTTTTTACTATCCAATCAATATAGTGCGTTACGCGCGTATAAATGCCCGGCCAAGACTCCAAACCGCATGGCTGCATACCGAATGACACAATGCCGACTACAAAATATGGCGCATCCATATCTCGACCACGCATTGTCAGTGGCGCACCAGAATCACCTTGGCATGTATCCTGCAGCGGTTGCCCACCTGCGCACAATTGCAGCGTTCGATTAACTGGAATATTGATAGTTTCGAATTTCGCCACACACGCATCCGTATGCCAAATTAATAGCGAGATTTTCTTCTTTACTGTGCTGTATGCACTAACTTCCGTACGGCCCCAACCAGCCACGTCGGCATATTCATTTTCGAATGTCAACTGTCGTAATTCGTTTGTTGTTGGCAGACAGATGGGACGTATCATGTCCGAGTAGCTCACACTCTCTACCAATCGTATCAATGCAATGTCATAGAATTCGGATTGTGAGTGTGGTATGTACTTGTCATGTATGATGATGCGTTCAATCTTTACCTCCACATATGGATCTGCGCACCTGCTATGCCCGTCGGCAGTTTGTATGCAATCGGGATTAGAGCTGATGTTCCATTCGCCGAGGCGTACACTATCGAGTTTCCATGTAGTCGGTATGCTGGGGTTTCTCAGACAGTGTGCTGCACTGAGCACGTATCGACGGTTGATGAGCACGCCGGCGCAGTTAAGTGCTGTGGCGTTGTAAGCTATAGGAAGATAAGAGAAATATGGAATGATGAAAAGATTGTCGGCATGTTTTTAACGCTCATCTACATCTACTATGCAAACTAAAAAAAATTTGCCATTCAGTGAAATAGAATAATCGAATAAATAGTATGCTATCGCTTATTATTATTATTATTATTATTATTATTATTATTATTAAGAACAGATAGGGATTTCACGTCAGTCAGGTTTACTTATGTAACCGAAAAGACGACGAAATCTACTTATATCCGACCAAGGACTGACAAGCCATTCTGAATTTTTATGAAGTTACAACAACAGTGGGCACATAACAGCATAGCTGAAGTTCATGTGGACATTAGGAAGGCAGCGACCATCTAGGAATTGAGTTGTTGATACTGCCGTACTTTATGTACTTTTTAAACGTGCAGAAAAAACCTTTCTCTTGATCCCTTCAAGGGGCCGTCCCATCTCATATGTCTTCATTTTTCATTCCTAATAGGCGGCATACACCGTGCGTCTGACCCGTGAGTCGGTTTGGATATGTTTCTGAAAATAAATATATGGTAGTTATACCGACATGACTCCTGGCATGATTCAAGGGGAGTCAACACGTATACAAATGACTCGCGAGTCAGACGCACTGTGTATGTTGCCTATAAAGCATGAAGAGTGACTTATACTACTCTCTTCACGCGGGTCTTCGCCAAGAATTGACATATGGCGAATTATTGGTCTATTTTGGATTTACAAGGTCTAACCTTTCACCTAATACCCTTGATAAGAACTTACAAGATCATATTAAGAGGGCTGATACCGCGGCAGTTGACGCAGATGGCGGGCCACATTTCATCCGACCATATTCAGCACAAGATTTAATACCATCCTTATCAACTCATTATTGTCGTAATTGAATAGCTCAGTTGGCTGGCCGTCAGCGATATTACCTCTTCATAGTCGGGTGGTGGGTAATGGATTCCGTCATCAATGACGGGGCTCGGGTTCACTATGATTACGTTCTAGACATCAGTCGCCAGGTCGCCGAAGTTGTGTTCGCACTCGCATATTTCCGCCAGTTAGAAAATACGTCTCTCTTTCCTCTTCAGTTCTCTCTATTGGTCCCATATAGGGCGCGTTGCACCCGATCTCGAAAGGGCTCCTTTTTTCTCTGCAGTTGCTTGACATTTCACTTCGTACCAGTTCTTTTTTCGGGCTCGTTAAAATCTGACCTCTTCTTCGGCGCAGGTACGTGATGACTGGGAAATGTGATTTCATTGCTCACATAAGCCGGTTTGTTGAAGAATGCTAACAGAGAACAGGTGTGAGCGTCGATTGCCGAATATGCCATCCAGCTACAGTGCTTACTGCTCGAAGTTCAGCTTTCCGTGCATTTCTGGACGCAAATATTTTGCCGATGCTGAACAGAGCTGTGCGTATCTTAATTGCAACAGCGTAGTCCCTTAAACGTGTGCCGTGGTCGCCATCAAATGCAGGTGGTTTCATCTGAGGCTTTCTGTTTCTTATTATGGGAAGAAGCTTTTACTTGGCGAGTCCCAAACCCTGCGCACAATTCGTTGCTGGAGTGGGTAGTTTTTCAACCGAATGCACGTTTATATAGTGAGCCGCTTGCTCTAATGGTGAATAGACACTGCAGACTTCAGTGCACAGTACAACAACAGCACTTAACGCCATAAACACTCAGATAACACGTGGCCTTAACCGCAACCGTCCCTGTAAGAGGACTATTCTAGTAGCGTTGGACCTGTCAAAGGCGTTTGACACCGTCAGCCACTCCACACTACTAGAAGATATAGAGGCCTTCTCTCTCACACAGAGGCTCAAACGGTGGTCGGCGAATTATCTGAGTGGTCGACACTCGTCGGTAATGTTCAGAAAAATAAAACAGGGGGTTTGTGGAACCTGTGATGTCCTTTCCCCACTACTGTTTAACTTTTACATTTCAAAGCTCCCTCAACCACTAGAGGGAGTCTCGATTGTCTCCTACGCCGATGATAGCTCGATCATGGCGACTGGGAATGGAATTGATGACTTGTGTTCGAAAGTAATCGGGTATCTCTCCGAGCTTTCTCGATTCTTCACTGCAAGGAGCCTAACCCTCTCCCCTACAAAATCCTCTACGACCTTGTTCACCACCTGGACGAAGGAGGTTAGGCTACCGGTGGGAATTCACGTCGATGGTACATCAATTTCGACGGTGAATAACCCCAAAATACTCGGAGTAACATTCGACAGTCTGCTCTCCTTCTCTGCACACGCACCCGCTATTGTCAACAAAGTACAGAGCCGCAACAAGGTCCTCAAGTCGCTAGCCGGCAGTACTTGGGGCAAAGACAAAGAAACGTTGCTGGCAATATACAAGGCAATAAGCCGAGAGTTTTGGGATTACGCAGCACCAGTGTGGTCGCCGGGGACTAGGAGGACGCAGTGGATGAAGCTGCAGACGACGCAGAACACCGCACTACGGACAGCGACTGGATGCCTTCTGATGTCGCCGGACCACAGACGTGGCCACCCAACAAGACAATTGCTTGCAGAAGAGCCCTCGCCTATCCACGTCAGGAGGCATCTCTAGGAACTGACGGACGAAGTCCATAGGTTCATTAAACAACCTCTGGACCCGTCAGCTTATCGATAGCTCTTGAGCGGTTTTCACATGGAGTCAGAACCGAGTATGAATGCCGTTCTAGGCACACAGCCGCCAGACATCGACGAGACGGAGCTTCATCTGCCTCGGGAGACAGGAACCACAATAGCGCAACTTCGCTCTGGCTACTGCAGCAGGTTAAACTCATACCTGAGCAGATTAAACGCAGATGTTCCAAATGAGTGTCGGGCATGCGGAGAGACACCTCATGTCTCGAAACATCTCTTCGTATGCCCGTAAAACCAGACAACCCTAACGCCTTTGTCCCTGTGGACCGACCCTATCGAGGCTGCACGCTTCTTAGGGCTTCCGCTTTTTTTTAATTTTACTGGAGAGGGAAAAACTTCTTATGGCAATTTTCTTCAAGCATTTCGTAAAACGCAATACAAATCAGAAGGATTCATTCCTTATTAAAAGATTTAGTATTATTTGGCCTTATCGGATTTTCGGTGCCTTTTTTTGGACTTGGCAAATTTGCCGTTCATTTAATATAAACGATAAAAAGTGCCTTAATCCTTTTCTAAAAAATGCTTTTTTAAATTCTCTTGCTGCCTCACTACAAATATGAGTTGACCTCGCACCTGAGCAAAAACTCAGAACAAAACCTCTATTTTTTAATTAATTTGCTATTTTGAACTGAAAATTGAATATACTCACGTCTTTGATACTTTATCAATGCTGACCATGGATAATCGCCCAGTTCTGTATCAACGCCGCCAAAAATCCGTGTATTGAAAGTGAGTCCACAAGCTCCTTTTGAAGGCAGAATTGTACCCGATTCTGCTTGAGGTTTCTCTGCATTCGGATTATCTAAACAGCAAACCTAAAATAATTATTACATACTGTTAATTTAACAATCTGAGCCTAGATTACTTCGACAACTGCATTAGCACCTACGCGTGTCTTATCCTGTCCCACAGTTGCATTAGTATCAAAGCCACAGTAACTTTGACGAAGGAATTGAATTACTTGTTCGTTTAAATTACTAGTGACTAAGTCATAGAGCGTCGGACACTCTGATAAGGGCACGCAATGACCTTTCAATCCGTAAGGTGTATTGCACACACCATAGCTGACGAAAACTGAAAGAAATATATATATAAATATTTAAATTAAAACTGGTAAGATTTACTACAAAAATATTCCCATAGTACGAGGCACGTCCAGAAAGTAAGTTTACTCAATGTGTGTAGGCTTCACAAAAATTTATTTATGTAGAAAAAAATTGTATGGTATGGTATATTATTTGTGCATATATGCAAGTTATTCCTGATCATAGTCGCCATCGCTCCTTAGCAGACTACTCTATCTTCACCTCCTCTTCCGTTGAAGACCTTTTCCGCCCATGTGGGGAATGCGAGGTTCGCCTTTGGCTAAGGTTGGATCGCAAGAGATGCTCCTGGATCAAGAGTTTTAAGAATAGGGAATGAGTCAGAATACACGGTTACCAGCATGTTAGAAAACAGTTGAAACTCCGTGAGAACCCCAGTAATCGTACTTTCCGGATGTGTCTCGTATATAAAACAAAAATCTTTTAAATGGGCCGGTTTTACCGTCCGGGTCGCTCGGAGAGCTAGGGTTTTGGGTCATAGCACTTTTGGCTTCCACAGGGCTTGCGCTGAACTGCAATTTTCCGTTTTTTTTTATCTAATCGTTTTTGGCGCTGTAACCGCCTAACCAATTTTGGTCGAATTCAATAAAGCATGCCAACCATTTCTCTTCTATGCCAAGTGAAGCCTAGCTCTTCTCCACTGAATCTTTCCAACGCATAGCAGGTTTCCGTCTTCTTCTGGTACCACCAGCGGGATCCACGTTGAATATTTACTGGGCTGGAGCATTTTGTTGATTCTTATGGCATTACAGAACCAGTATTTTAATCAGGGCGTTTTATCAAAAATAATTATTTGTATTCATTATTTTAAGGTATTCAAATTTGCGATCAATAACAATAATAAATTTCTGTGTTTTATTGAATTGTACAGAGATACATGGGAATTATACATGGAGTTTTATTTTTTTACTCTGAACTAATTATTTATTTCTTTGATCAGAAAAAATCATTAGGGCTGTTCACGATCTTGTGCATATGCTTTTGCATTTGCATATTCGGTGCATTTGTAAATTCACAACACTAAAATGCACGCGTTTGTCAGGGTAGCAAGCTTAAAAATTGCAAATGCAATTCCTGCTGCATGTCCAAGACCATTTCCACCATATCAAGAACATACCTCTTCTTTTTTCAGTTTTACTTTTTTATATAAAATAATGATTATTTTTTAAGATTTATTTTTTTTTATCAAAAGTAAAACTCATTTTTCGAGTGTTTTTTTTCGCTCGGAAATAACTTTCTTTTGTGAGTTGTTATTTTTTAGGAAAAATAATTACTATTTTATGACTTTTATTTTTGGCGAAGAAAAATTATGATCTTTTGAGTTTTACTTTTCTCATAAAAAATAATGGTTATTTGTTAAATTTTAAATGTTTGGTATTTTTTGGGGAATTCGAAAAACTCAAACTCTACACCGCTTTTCTAATACTTGTTTTGTAGCTCCATCCAACATATGCACTCAAAAATTATAACCAGTTTAGCAAAAAATATTTACCACTAAACACTTGTTAGAAAAGGGGTGTGGCGTTTTAAATTTCTCGATCTGCCACAACAAGAAATAGAAATCCTAAATTAATTTTTATTTCCGAGAGAAAAACAACGCTCATGAAATAAGTTTTATTTGAGTTCTCGAAGTACTGAAAGACTTTGAACGGTGCACGAATTTCACGGTTTGGAAAGCTGTCCCATAGGAAAACCGGTTTTCACCATGCAATAGGTGCACCGTTCAAGTGCTTTGCAAGACTTCGAGAATACTCCTATGATTTTTGATGAGAAAATAAAAATAAAAAATTACAATTGTTATAGATATCGCTAAAAAAATTTAAACCGTAACAGCTTCATATACATATGTAGGTCATTAAAAAATTAATACATCCATACACTCGGGATTGTTCTGCAATATTTGGAAGCTCTTAATTTTTTTTCATTGAAAATTTGAAAATAATCATTAATTTCGGTCCCTGATTTTAATCCTATGTGTATGTTGTTGTAAGGCTCCATTCTCTGCGTTATTCGTCGACGCATATGCTCGTAAATCTTCCGGAGCTTCTTATAAAGAGTGGGGCTTTTATAAGTCGAGAGAAGACTTTACTTCTCCGTTGCCTACTCGGTTCACATTATCACTTGTTGACAAGTGTGATTCTGGGTTGTATTTCGAGGCCGAAAATATTATCGGTGTTAATGCTGATTCCCAATCAAACGGAGTCCTCAACTTTTTCAAAACTATAGCTGTCAACAGTGACATGACTGCCGAGGGGCCGATTCTTGATTCAGTGCCTTATCCTCGTTTGCCACCAAAGTTAATAGTCTTGCTTTCATATCCAACTTGAAGTTATGCGCTCTTATAGAAACTGTAAAAGAGCGCTTAAGTTATGCATCTAGTATTATCTTTTACAGCATCAGATTAATGAAGTCCCATGATATGGACCGACCCTGGCTGAAACCTCGTTTGATATTGAATGGCTCTGTGAAGTTCTTCACAATTCTGAAGGAGCTAGTGATATTGTGCAGCACCATCTCTCAACGATAATGCGGCTTATAGGCAACTCCTTTTCATGCTATCGAAGGCGGCTTTTAAACAGACAAGGACATGAAGATTGTCATTGCTCTTCTCGCGGTAGATTTACCATGTTTAAAGCGGCACTGATAAGGCTCAGTCACTTCTTTATGCTTTAGCCATTCGCACAATACGCTACATAAGAAGATATATGGAAAGCTGTGGGTTTTGCAGAACCAATTCTATCAATTCTCGCCACCGTATTTGAGTAGCTCTGCTGAGAGGCCTTCAGCTCTAGCAGCTTTTTGGTTTTTCAGCCGTTAAAATTTCCAGTCATACCTCGCTTTAGTCGACTATGCATTCTTGGACTGGGAACTTGGGATTATCGCCTCCGCAGAGGTCAGTGCTGTTACAATTCCACAGGATGGAAGTAAATATGTTTTACACATCGGTGACTAGTTCATCGGATGCGTTCTTATAGGAGTTTACCTTGGTTTTGAAACCTTTCGTAAGTCGCCTAACTTTCTGCTAAATTTTCGGTCGTTTTTCCTGTCGGTCTCCATTTTAAAATGTTTACACTCACGTATTTCAGCCTCTGCTTTCGTTATAAAAAATATGTCTCGCTTCCCCTTTCAGCTCCCTATTCGATCCCACATTTTTCGTGTTGAGCTCCATCACAGCGTGGCCCTGTAGACTGTATCTGTTTTCTCTGCAGCGACGTGACATTTCTCATTGACCCAGTTGTTCTTTCGGGTTCGCTGAGACTGCCTACTTGACTACGGTACTTAATGAGCGGATAATGTGGTTCCACTGTTGGGACATGTGGGTTTTTTGAAGAGTGCTCTCAGAAACCGCCGGTTGTTATTGCTTAGAGCCTCTTGTTTTGTTGAACTCAATGATGATAAAGAAGTTTTGCGTCATTATCGTCCCTGTATTATTATTGATATTATATTGGCAGAAAACCCTGCAAAAACTGTCATACAAACTGCAAATATTGGAAGGTCCCTCCGTCACTGTTTTAAAGAGCACTTATTCAACCGCTGTTCTAGAGTCACTTCTAGGACACAAGAGAGCTGGAAATACGACTCACGACACGGCTCAATGATGAAGGACAGAGCAGGTGCCGGTTTTTATGGACCTGCTACCAAACTTGCAATTCCTATGGGCAGATGACCCACGACACTCCAGGCTGAAGTATGTATGTATGTATTAGCAAAGTATTAACTTGTGCGAAGTTCTTTAAAACGATTTAGAGGCCGCCTTGCCAGTTATATTTTCAGATAGCCAAGCAGCCAACCGGGCACTCTCTTTCATAAATATTATGATAATAGCGACATAATATTTATTCAAACAAATTAATTGATAAATCTCATACGAATCACTAGAGTAAACAAGTTAAATGCACAAGTAAGCAAGTTGAACACTGATGCCACATAGCATGTATGTATGTACATATGTATAGCGAACATCTTTGCTAATGATATTGTCGAACTGGATACCTACCAGCATTTATTGCAAATACGTAGAGAGCAACGCAGATGCCAATACTCAGCTTGATAAGCCTAAACATTGGCACTACGGGGAAAAACATTTTTTCCTTATTTCACTTATGTAAAGCCTCACACTTTTACACAAAACTGTTTATATGTCTGATTCCGAGAATAAGTTTATTATAAATACATCTCATTAAATTTTATTGAATATTTTTGTAAGCCAATCACAGTTTCCGCAAATAATTGCCGACGCGTTTTAAAAGCGCTACCATACAACCTCCACCTCCAAACGCCAACCGAGTCAGACTGAGGTACGCACTCAGAGCCTAAGCTCGACGAGCTTAAGTGTGGCTTTGGGATTTTATTTAGCTTTGAGTTCTGATACATATGTATGTATATTTATAAGTACGCTTGTGTGTGTATGCAGCTTGAGAAGTTTGTTCTTTTCGGCCCTTTCACTGCGCCGTGTGAACGTAAATTTTACATAAATATGTATGTATGTAAACACTAATATTGATAGCGTAATCCTGTTTTATTCTTGTTTAGTCAGAAATCTAAACGTACATAAATATTTACACATATTCTTAAACAAATTATTATTGATAAGATTGGAGGGGTGCAATTTCCTTGGGGTGTACATTTGTAAGCACATGTATATACATATGTACATACATATATAATTAAACACACAAGCATTCATTAAATTGTATTGCGAAGCATTGCTTTTCTCCCAATCAAACTGAATTTATAGTTTTTTAATTCAACTTTAGCCTTTTGAGATAATCATGATTTCTTGATTAACAAACTGGGGGTTTCAAACCTATATTATATATATTTTTTCTATTAATTTTGATACCATGAAAGTGATAACACACACCCACAAGTATTATATATATCTGTTACCATAAGCAATATTCCCTTAAGCCAAAAATTATGTACATACATACATACATTAGACTGATTCAAAAAAATCGACAATCTTTTTTTCCGAATCCCCTGTGAATTATTTTCGGGACAGTGAAACGATTGTTTCAATTTTGAAATTTCGTAACTCGTTTTTAAGTCAACTTATCGGAATGAACGATATATATTTTTATGGGAAATTGAAGGCTGTAAAAAAGTCTTATGATTTTCGATAAATTTACTCCTATAAAAGTTATTCAAGGTTGAAGTCAACAATTCTTGAAGGAAAATTCTCAAAAAAAAAGTTGCTTAAAATCAATGGTATTTTGTAACCGTTTTAAACTTGCACTTTGATATTCTAGAATTATAAAACTGCATACTCGAAAAAATAATTAACAAAGTTTCATAAAAAATTTCACCCCCTTTATTCATAAAATTTTTATATCCCATTTAATTCTACACCTTTTCCAAATAGCAATGGTATTTCAGAAAAGCTCGCATGAATTTCAGAAAAGAGCAAATGTATTTCAGAAAACCTCAAATGTATTACGGAACAGCGGAAATGTATTTCAGAAAAAGTCAAATGCATATGTATCAGATTTTCCAATTGTATTTCAGAAAATCTCAACTGTAGTTTAGAAAACCCCAAACAAATAAGTAATAATAAACAACTGAATAGGAAACAGCTTCTTATTTGAATTTAATATCAAAATTGCCTCGATGATACGACCAACACGCTTTCCTTCAAATTAAAATATGGCTGTCAAGCCATAAGCTCTGACATATATTTCGGCCCGTTGGGAATATATTTTGTGACATGATTATCACGACATCAGTGTTTTCCTGTGGAGACAAGACCTTACGCAACGATTTGGCGGATTTGGTCATTGTATGCGACAATACACCCTGCTATGCTGGGATAGAGTATGTTTGTAATAACGGATCAGCCACTCATTTACGTTTAGGACCACATTTCCCGATGCTAAATCCGATGGCAAATACATACATACATATATGGTCAAAAGTAAAATCGTACTTCCTACTATAAACGAATAAGGAGTAATTGAAAAGCGTTTGCAATACATTTTTGGAAAAAGTCAGGCGAAAGATACAGTTACTACAGCAGATTGTGCTCGCGCCATACAGTGCTCATCTTTTTTTCTTTCGGATGTTTTGGCGTTGCGTGACATGCCAGTTGGAATGTAATTCCAAGTTTGAGTTCCTAGCATGCTCAGACCTTTCTACGGGAAGGCAAAGGCTGGCATCACCGCTATCCACCAAATGGACCGCGTTTAGCCACACACCTCGACGGAAAAGAAAAACTAGGCGTTCAAGCAACTCATTTATCAAATCGGTATCAAAATCATGCTAGACGATTTCAATACCAGAGTAGGCCTCTACGACGAAACATCCCATAACCGACTGATACTGATCGACTTCACAGCAGCTGTAGACGCTTACAGGGCATTGGATATAGAGAGCTGAATAAGGCAGCGAGACGTTTTCACCATAATAAAAAAGGGCAAGGCTGAAATACGTTAGTGCAAAGAGCTTGAAATGCTGGTCGACTGGAAAGATGGCCGAAGTATGTGAATAGTAATCCGCTGAGCTATTCAAGTAAAGCATCAATTCTTATACTGAATATGGCCAGACGAACGCCAACAAAAATTGGTGTTGTTATCCTCTCTGGAAGAACAAAGTCAGACGGCACCGTTTCCTTTACTTTTAAAGAAGTTATGATTTCGATGTCTTCCCAAGTATTTAAGAGTATTCTGTATGCAAAGCTTTATAAAGAGGTGTTACAATGTTCACTTTTTTTGAGGTCTTGGCTAGCTTCATGGAGAGCGAGATCAAATCTTCTTTTTAACCGACTTCCAAAAAAGGAGGAGGTTATCAGTTCGTCGAAATATATTTTTTTTATGTATGTTACAGCATAATTTTGGACCACGTGAACCGATTTCGATAATTATTTTTGCATCATGAAAGGTAGTATCTCAGAGGTGGTCCCATACTAATATCGTTTAGATCTGATCATTGGATCATGAAATATATATATATATATATTTTTTTTTTATGTCGGTTTTTTTTTGATAAAAATTACTTGTTTAAAATATGCTTCCGCATTTTAAACCGAAATGTTCGCAATTCTTAGCAATGGATTAAAAGCATGGATTAAAATATATATAAAAAGGCTGGGGAGATTTCGTATCTGTGGTTACAACCAAAGAGTCTTTAGGGGTTCAACCGCCATTGGTTGAGCTTCGTTTACTCTGGATTCCAAATGATACGGGTTACTTGTTAGCCAGCAATCTGACTATATGTCGAGTTGTCCTCAGATCAGGACTGGGCAGAGAGCCTTCTATGAGCAGACAGAATCAGCCTGGAGTAGACTGGTATAAATGTAGGCAAATATGTATGTATGTGTGATCCTTTTTAAACGACGCATCCTTCACCCGTTAACATTCGAGATTTTGGTACGTGGGCAAAAGCGGAGTAGAGTTAGATTCGCAAAGACATCAAGGAGTCTGGAACATTGTACTCGAAACGCTATATGTTGGTGTAGTTTTTCCTCAGAGCATAATAAATATTGTCTTGGCCTAACTTTCTTTATTATGGAGGTGAAGAATCCCTTAACTCCTTCTTGTAGACATAAGGATATTTATTTCTCGATACTACATTTTATTATTATAAGATGACTTTTTCCAGTAATATCATTTTAGTACAAACACAACATGTTAATATATTATAGGTATATTTTACCTTAAAATAAATATTGTAGTCATAGTGAAATAATATTTCACTATGATTGTAGTCACAAATTATTTTTCTCTAATAGGCGGCATACACCGTGCGTCTGACTCGCGAGTCGGTTTGGATGTGTTTGTAAAAATAAATATGTGTTAGTTACACCGACATGACTCCTGGAGTGACTCTGAATGATTCAACTGTGTGTAGTCGAAGGCGAGACAACTAGTACACAAATGACTCGCGAGTCAGACGCATGGTGTATGACGCCTATTAGAGTAATTAATTTCCCGAGTAAATACAACTTGCGAACTTAAGCTGCATCTTTAATACATACTCAACAACTTAATTATCATTTCTCTATCACGCTTTTTATCCAATCAATATAGGTACCCACACGTGCGTAAACTCCCGGCCAGCCATCGAAACCGCACGGCTTGGGACCAAACGATATAATTCCCGTTACAAAATATACAATACGATTATTCAGCACCTCAGGTAACATCAATGGACCTCCGGAGTCTCCACGACACGCATCAATCCCACTAACGCCACCAGCGCACAAGTGGTGCGTGCCATCAATGTGTCGATTTAAAGATTTATAAATATTTCCACAATCCTTCGTTTCCCACACCTTCACAGAAATTGCCAATTTCAGTGGCGATGAGATTGCTTTGGGTTTATCGGTTGCACCCCAACCAGCTACTTCCATGGTAGAGTTTACGAACATGCTGTCACACAACTCTTGAGCCACGGGTAAACAGATCGGACGTATAAAATCACTGTAGGATACACTCTCTTCCAGACGCAGTAGAGCTACATCATAGAATTGTTCGTTGGAGCTGCTCACATATTTTGGGTGTGATATGGCTCGTTCTATACCCAATTCTATAAAGGGCGGAGCACATGACTCCTTGCCACGCACATCTATTTCACAATCCGGATTGGTTCTTAGATCCCATTCACCCAAACGGACGCTGTGAAGTGTTCGCTCCTCCGTCTGATTAAGGCAATGCGCCGCAGTGAGCACATAGCGAGAATTTATAAGACTACCACCACAGAGAAATTCAAGCTGATTGCCGCCTATAGTGGAAAGAGGAAAACGGGATTCCCAAAAAACATTAAAAGCTCGGTTATAAAATTTTATTACGTACGACTACTCACGTGTTTTATAGCGAATTAATGCCATCCAGGGGTAGTCCAAGATACGTGTCTTATTGCCGCCGTAGATGAACTCAGACAGTGAGGTGCCACATTCGCCAGCGGAGGGGAGCACATTGCCAGGCTGCACGTTGGCTAGCTGCATATCGGTTCTAGTACTCGTATTTTGCAAGGATTTTTCAGGGCAACAGACCTGTACATGCAGAAAATGAAGAAGATACAAAAAGGAACTTCATCACTTAATAGTTTAATAATAAGACAAAGTAAATAGGTACTTCCGAGCTTGTCAGACAACGCTTAAATAAGATGAGCCACTCGTGCCATGTTGAGTAAATATAAAGTTAAGATAATTCATAGAGTTAAAATAGTTTATCGCACAACTCTTAAGATAAGATAAATTAAAGGCCAACGACCTGTTGAGATAAAGTGGCTGGGGTCATCGATTTGAAGGTTCGATCCCTGTTGCAAGCAACATCTAAAAATAGAAAATGTTTATTCTAAGAGCGGTCGTTCTTGGCAGGCAATGGCAAACTTCCACTGAGACTATTCTTCTCAATGCAAGATTTATGAACTAAGAGCCGTTTTCTCAAGTAACCTTTAAGTTTAAAGCTCACTTTATATTTAAAGGTTGGAAAAACAGAAACTTTCTCAAAACGAATCGTCCCTGCAGCAATAACGCGGCCAAGTTTCTGTAAATGACCAGTACTTCACTGGTTCAAATTTGACTGGTCAGAATTGGACATTTGCTGGCATCGGTAATGTCAGCTTTCGACAGTTCCCAAGGAATCGGTCTAGAGATATACGCAAAGTACAGTTTGGCAGTGACAGGGTGGTGTTGTCTAGCAATTCAATAAAAAAAAAATGTAAATGTCCCAAACGCTTGGTCTGGCTTTGATGCAAAATGAACATTTGAACACACATTTACATGCGTGACTGTAGCTCAGGCGCAGAGAATCTTCCCACTATTTGTTAGCTAGCCGTGTTCAAATGCCATCAGAGGCAACATGGTTATAAAATGAAAGTTTTTTTTGTGCGTTTCCGAATTATGAAAAAGCATCTGTGAAGTGCAGAATGCAATCTTACTCCAACGAAAAAAATCTCCAAAATTGGACTAGTCCAGGACTATTTTACGGTCAGGGTTGATTGGACCGATCCCTTTCCAATTACACGCCAAATTCGGCGGATTCAATATGGTGACCAAATTTTATAATTTTTCCATTTCTCCAGAAACTCATATAAATAGGGGGTTTTCGAGGTCGCTGATTTCAAACCTGATGTCAGATTTTCGAAATAGAAAATGGCCGACCCAATGGATTTGGTATCCCCGCGAAACTAATACGGCTGTATAAAATTACGTTGAGCAATACCATCAGCTCTGTCGTAACTGGGAAGGACGTCTCCGAGCCGGAGCGCGGAGGTATGGACAATGAAAACATCTGATGATGAGAAAGATTCTGCGAAAGATTTGCGGACCTTTACGCCTTGGCGATGGCTTTACAACGATATAGAAATAGTGCTGCGAACTAAGATTCAGCGGCTCCGCTGGCTTGGCCATGTCGCTCGAATGGACAGAAACGCTCCTGCTCTGAAAGTATTCAACGCGGGCGCGGGAAGACAATCAATTGGCGTGCTGTTTTGGATTCGGTCAAATAAAGTAGATGTACGTTCTTTGTTTTCAAACAAATTTACATTCTATTACAACTTTGAAGTTTTAGCTAATAATTAGTTTAGAAAAGAAACGAAGAAAGTTACAGTGCCAATAAATAACAAGAAGAAGTATAATAAAAATACAAAAACATCTTGCATATTGTTTTTTCGAAGAACACTATTTTTGACCAATTTTTTTAAGGTCAAGGAGTAATTCTGGCTCAATGGCAATACTTTTTCATGAAAGGCAATTACATTAGCTTTCAAAACCATTTTGTTTAATATCAAAATGATGCTTCTGTCCAAAGCGCTATGATTAATTCGCATGATGGGCGTACAAAATTTTTGATTCTTATTTTTGGGGTTATGTAGAATGATGGCGTGAAATGGAAATCGACTATGCTTAAGAGATTTTTTCCCGTTTTTGGGTCTTAAAAAAGTTGCTAAGCTGTGTAATTATCGACTGACATATGAGTAGTCCATTTGCAAAGTGCGCTATGTAAAATGTTTTCGATTTTTAGTTTTTGGTGGGTAACGTATCTACCATTATTTATTTTGCCTTTTTCTATAGTAACTAAATTTTATAGATCCGCTAAAACCCCCAGAAAATGCCAGAAAATGGGGGGATAAACAAAAAATCTTTAGTATTAAAAATGGTTAAATAAACAATTGGGTGTGGTTATTTGAAGTCTCCTGAAGAGAGCCAGAGTTTCCGACAAAGAAATATTGATTTTCAAGAATTCCATACCATCTCTACAAAAAGTTGTTGTTTCCCCATATACATAAAATATATAGAAAACTTTGAGCGCTTTGAGCGACCTCTAAATACACTGAATCACAAATTCTAATCTTTTTTTTTTTCCTCCAGACGTCACTATCCAATTTGTATGTATAATCGCCCGCTGATTCCAAAAATCAAGTTAATTTTGTATTCCATGGATATGTTTTCGAGATAATCAAATTTTAAATAAAATTATAGTTAAAAAACTAAAACCTCCCTATTATAATTCCATAATTCCCATTCGTACTGTCATCAGGTATGTAACTTGAGAATAGAAATCGCTGCATCTTTTAGGCGCATCAATATTACATCCCGAGCTAATAAAAGGAAGGTAATAAAAACTAACAGCTTCTGTTTCAGATTCTTGCAGTTGTGCTGAAGCCTGTTCTTTTACAAACAAATCAAGTTACTAATGAAAAAATCTGCGCATTTTCATTTGACCACTCATTACTTCTTTATTTATCCATCGATTTTCTTCATTAGTAGCTTGATTTTTTTGTAACAGAACAGAGTTTAGCACAAAGGCAAAAATTTTACACAAAACCTTTTATTTTTTAAGTTTTTCTTTTGTTAAATTTTTTTTTTCATATTTTCATGAAAAAAATAAAATCTTGGAATTATTAATTAATTTGTCAGAAACTATCAGGCCTTCCGAAAAGTGATATATACACGGTCTATATAGAATTTTGTTAGCTTGAATTTGCCGTATTTGATATTAAGATTGTTAAATTGGTTCGCAAGATCTACGTTATTAAGTGTAACCACTTTTTGTTTTAATCGAAATAACGGTAAATTGAAAACTTATCCATGCAAAAAAAAATGAAGTCGATTTGCGAAATCAGCGAGCAATTCTTTATAGGAATTGGATAGTGGCATACATTGAACATTTTTGCTAAAAACCAGTGATATTTTCTAAATAAAAACTAGAGTTATACATTTTTCGATATAGAACAATCCTAGGGGGTGAGAGAGAGAGATTAAAAATCCAACCATTATTTTGGACCACCCTAGTGTTGATGCCTATCTGGTTATCCGAATTGTGTATATGTATACATACATATATCCCGATATTTGAATCTAAAAAATTAACTAAAATAACTTCTATTTGAGTCTTAATGAAGTGTTCTATTATTTATTTTTTTGATTCCGTAATTTTAAGAACATTTTTTCGAATCCATTTAACTACTGTTTAGAATTTCCGGATAACCTAATTATATTTATTTGGATACTCTGGTACCTATCTGTGTTCGTATGGAATAGTAACTTATGTCGAAAGGCTGGCTTTAGTATAATGCGGCATTCGAAGCATTCGTTTGCGAATGACTCACTGGCGCCGAGCCGTTGAAAAACTTTTGGCAAATAAATATGCAAGAAATAATTCCGATACTAGCAAGACAATATTCTCATTAAGTCTCATCAAAAAATTACTTGTTGTTTAAAGAATAAAGGGAATGCTGCATTATACTAAAGCTAGCTTCCCGACATAAGCTACTATTCCATACGAACACAGATATGTATGTATGTATTGAGCATCTATGTAGTTTTAAGCAAACAGGTTCCCTTTTAAAATTTTTGAATGAACCCTTTAGTTTAAATCTATATTCCAAACTCTTCCATGTCATCTGTTTAATTTCCTACTCACCACAATTCTGTGCATTTTCTCTGTGAACGTGTTATCATAACCACACTGACTCTTCCGTAATGTTTCCTCTACTTCCTCATTCAAATCTCCTGAAAGAATATCCAAAATATATTGACAATCGACCAGCTGCACGCAGATGCCTTTGCTGTTGAATTGTGACTCACAACGGCCATAGCTAACACCGGCTATTAAAAAAGGTAGATCATTTGTCATGAATAAATTAAGCCCACACAAATTAATGCGTTGACTAATTGAATTTGTGAATAACGTACCTACGCCAGTTGTAACGTACAAAAACAACAGTAACGGAACTATTGCGCGTGCGAAAACCAATTTAAACATTTTACTAAAAGCAAATAAACTTCTATTTAGAATAATCGAATAATTTTTAATGTCTTTTTGCATTTATAGTATGGATTGTGATCGTCCAAACACGTCCACACTCAACACCACTCACTCGCAACACTAAACGCAATCGATGATTTGAATTTGAATGCAGCTCAACACCTTGGTGCTTTTGGTTTTCGAAATAAAGAGAAAAACCCAACGGAAATTATCATTGCATTCTTGCTTAGTGTAGCAGTTAAGCGTCATGCCTTCCTCTTGGCGTCGTCGAATTGATCGTCGTTAGCGCAACCGTTGCATTGGCGATAAGAAATGCGAATGCGAGAGTTAATCTAACTGAACACAAGTGTGCAGCTACGCTCATAGCGTCCCCTTGATCAGCGAAACAGTCAATAGGTTACGCGGTGCTGAGTAATTACCTACATACATATGTTTTGTAGCAGATATTTACATACAATTATAGGCTTTTAATAAGTTCGCTGAGCATACATACATATCTATATGTACGTAGACGACCCACCATTTAAATAGAAGCTCAAAAATTATCAAATACCTTAACTATACAGAGAAGGCTATAGTTTTCTTTATAATAACTTAGATTTGTATATAGTAGGAATACGTACAAAGGTATGTATGAATGAAAACAAAACGTGACTGCCATATTTAATAAGCCTAGACTAATCTGTAAAAACCAGCGGCTGCCAGATTTGTGATAATGCAAATGATAAAAACAAGTATTGATAAAAAATGTGCACTTGAAACCACATGTCTTTAATAGCCTGCGCGCATTTTTTTTTTAAGATTTGATTCTGAACACTTCCCTCAAGACTTTTTTTTCGCAAATTCGATCACTTCCAAATTATATACTGGTCCGGCATTTCGCGATCCTTAAATATATTTTTAAAATAAAAGGCATTTTTTCGACGCCTATCTTCTGCGTTGTTCATTTGTTTTATTCCAAATATCTAATAGTACTAAAAATAGGCGATTATCTCTTATTTTCTGCGGCATGGGTATAATAGTTGATTAATATACTTTTGTTGTTTTTCGAATCTGTGCTATTTGAGTTATCCAAAATGGTTATGTACGAGTTGTTTTTAGCTGTTATAAATAACTACGGTTAACAAGATAGTTTGAATATTATAATTTTATATAAAAAATGCGTGTGTTGCAATCTAGATGCTGGCTTTTCTCTTATCAAAGAACTAACAATTGAATCGCACACATCCACTACATACACATACACTTAATTTACTTTTGTTGTGCTTTAAATTTAAATCCTTTTATTGTTGCCGTATGTATAAACTGGTTGAAAAGCTTCACCATCATCTCCCTCACCGTCATCGGAATCATCGCTATCGAACGTATTGTCAGGAATATCGTACAAGCGAATCATTGGCTTGTTGGGATCCTTCATAATCAGATATTTGCCATCCTTTTGTTTCATCACGATATCGATGATGCAACGCAGCACTCCCCAAGCGTTATCCATACTTAAATTAATTTGGGTTGCGAACTCATGTGGTTTGAATTGCTGTGTTCCAAGTATAACATGTTTAGAGGGATCGCGTGGATTGCTTCGTGAAACATAGCCTAGTTTCAACTGATCGGAGCCGGCAAGCGCAGCTTGTACAGTCCATTTGGCCAGTTTGCAGGCATTATTGCGCAACTCGTTCGCCAATACAGCACCCCGTTGGGTATCTAATTTCTGACGCCATTCAACACCATTCGCTAACTTCGAATCCCATTCATTTAGCGCCTTAATCGATAAAAATTGTGGTTCACCATTTGGTGACTGCAGCACACCGTCGTGTTCACAACGAGCCACTAAAACCTGTGGGGATTGATTTTGCATAAGTTACATTTAATGATTTTATTTTAAATTATCTATACTTACAATATCGCTACCCAAATTCCATTTCTTATAGCGATAACCAACACTTGCAACTTCCACATCTTCATCTTCAGTAATAAATGGATTTGCCTCCTGAAACTTATACTTGGGTTCCTTTTCGCCGGTTTTCAATACTTGCTGGCTGAAATTATGGTTTATGAATGTAGCTTCAATTGCCAAATTACGTGGTGAATTGGGTGAGCTATCATCGTCAGTTGGTGGCTCCACTGATGTCTCATTAACCGTCAGCAAATCGAATTCAGTATTGTCGCGTTTATCCATGAAAATTTTATCACCTAAAATTCAAATATAAAACGGGGAGTTTCACCTACAAATACCTACATACAGTTATATTTCGGTTAAATATATACTTACCAAACTTTTCAATTACAATATCCCACGAGTAATTTGAACGTGTTGAACACATGATGGTCGCCAAAATGGCGTCAGTAGCAAACACATTACCCACAGTTTTGGATAAACGACGGATTACAGGATCGTCGGTGGTGGTGACAGTGTGAACGATGCGGTCGATTTTCTGCAACGGCTTTTCATTTTTAACATTGATACGATCGTAGGTTTTGTCATAGTACTCGAGTGTACCACAGGTGATTATATCCTCACCCTCTTTGATATTAGGCAAAGATAACTTCATTAACCGTGGGAAGTCCATTTCCTCAATCGATGTCCAATCTGAGCGTACAGCAACCGACGACTCACGTATCTTAGGTGGCACACCACGTGATCCAAACTTCTTGCCCATACCACGACGAGGATCCCGGGCCTTGACATTTTTACCACCCAAAGTGGTCATACCAGAATTCATGCCGCCGCGTTGATTGCGACCACGCGCTGACCTGGTTTTA